CTTCCTCGAGCTCTACCTCCGGCTCGCTAGGGCTATCGGGGGATGCAACTCGGTTCGTAGAACCTGCATCAGACCCGCTGAAAGGACTATCTGAGCCATCCAAGCTAGACATCAGGGAGTGAGATGGGATCTAGGAAAGTACTCACCCGGACAAAGGCTGTAGACCACAGGAGCTCGGACGAGTGGAAGACCTTGAACGCAAACTGAAAAAAACCTGGATGCGAACAGGATGCGAGCTAAAACTCGGATGCGAGCTCAAGAGAAATACAGAAGTGATAACAATTGGGGTCCCCCCCGCTATTTATACTCACAGTGACTGAAAAGCGACGGCTTAGATCAAAGCCAATCCGACGGCCTACAGCCGCACTAACCGCACGTCCCCCGAGACCGAGACGTGATTGGCGCATGTCTTTCTGAAACTGACAGAGCGCCGGCGCACATCTTTTCGAAACTGACGGAACACCAGTCAGTAAAAGCAGCAGCGGCACGTCTTTTTCAAATTTGAAAAGACGCCCGCTATCGTGCCCCCTGAGTGGCGCGCTTTTTTGAAATTTCGAAATAAAGCGCGTGCCGCCACATCTATCAGCGTTTAGGCAGGCCGGCGCACTTCCCGCCTAATGGACGCTCGAATAAACCCAAGGAACCCTGACAACGCACCTCGCGCCGTCAAAACCAAGATTCAAAGTGCAGGGCAAATCTACCTAACACCTTGCGAACTCCCCGCGCCAGGGCAAGACCCTTAGCACGAGGAGTGGGGGGCAATTGATAAAGGAAGATTTGGCCCGACCTCGCAAATCACGCCACGTGGCAAAAAACAAGTAGCTCGGCACTTAAAGCAGCATGCCTAGGGTGCAAACACCAAAGGGAAGAGACCAATAGTCTGAACTCCCCTCGAGGAGACCGAACTCCCCTCGAGGAGACCAACTCCCTAAGAGGAGCCCGAACCCCCTACAAGGGGCCCGAACCCCCTACAAGGGGCCCGAACTCCCTAAAAGGAGCCCGACCTCCCTATTAAGAGCTCGAACTCCCTACGAGGAGCCCGAACTCTCCCTTTGGCCCCGAACCACACAAAGCAGTGACCCGAACTGGCTCGTCTCATGGCAGTTCGGGACACCTCCCCTATCCGAACTCAAGACTTCGCCTCGCACACCGCTCCAAGCACTTCGCCTCCAGAGCATTGAAATGGACAAACCACACTGAACCTGACACCGAAGGAGT